TGCAGACAGATTGTTCCAGCTGCATGCAGGCCCCTTTTGCTCTTGCTCCTTGCAGAACGCCCTAGCAAACGAGCCCTCTGGCATCTGGCAGAGACCGCCCATGCCCATCCCTGCTGCTTGCACATTTCAGATACGCAGCTAAGCAGGGTTCATACAAATCTGAAAGCGACATGGGCATGGAATGAGTGCCCAGGGGGCAGGGGTGATCCTGAGGGTTGGCTGCCTTTAGGAACCACTGCAGTGCCTTCCTCTCAGCACAGACACCCCTTCGATCCCTAACCCAACCCCGACACCCCCAAACTCCAATCTTGGATCCCCCTTCTGTCCTCTGGAACGACAGTGATGGGCGGCAAGATAAAACCCTAACATCGATTGTACCTGAAACTGGGTCTGTTTCTCTGCGCTCCCCATGCGGGGAATTGAAATAACCTGGATGCAATGTATTCCCATCAGTGCATGGAATACATTTTGTTATGTGCACTGAGGCATGGGTGGATGGGCACCACCATTAAAAACACACGTGGGTGCTCTGCTAATCAGCTGGGCGGCATTTCAGTCTCTCCTGGCTTCCAGGGAACACTGCTTGGATCCATGATCCCTATTTGTACCACAGGCTGTAGAATAGTGATAGAGAGGCAAGGCACAGGCTGTAGGTTTCTTGTATTTTATCAAAGGGCAGCAAAGCAGTGCCAAGTCTGTGGGAAATGGCACCCGAAATAAATCAGTATCCAAGGTGTAGGGAGAGCAGCTTGTCATCGTAACTGTTGCAACATTGCCTGTGGGGGCAGCCTAACTCAGGAATGCACCCAGCTTCTTAGTTTGCAAGTCCTTGTCACTTGAGAGGAGGCCGTTTCTAGTATATAGCAGCGTGATGTAAAACAAGCCAACCGCCTTTACCATCCCAGTGTTCTGAAAGAACTGCCCTGGGCGGCTGAGCGCAGGCGTGTGTGAATACACAGAGCAACTTGGGCGTGTCTGCGTAAACCATGCAGGACAAACAATCCTTGCCCTTGTTTTAACTTTATACAAACTTTACTATTGTGCTTACAGAGGGCAAGTCTTGCATGCACCAGAGTTACAGTTAAACTAGAACAAGGCTAGGTCTACGCTAGAGCCTTTTCTCAGAAAAAGTTACACAAATTGCACCCTGCACTTTGCGTAGCTTTTTCCCATTGCTTTTCCGGAAGCGGCTTTTCTGCCATTTGGCCCCATCTAGAATGAGGCATCCAGGACTCCCTGAAAGAGCACATTTGCTCTTCCCCAAAAAAAAGCAGAAGAGCGAACGCGTTCCCAGGACGCAGCAGAATTTTTCCGGGATACCTCTGGTATCCCAGAAAACCCCCGCAGTCTAGATGTATCCTAAGCAAGTAACAGATTTTTCAGTTGGCTGGACTCAAAAATCTGCTTTAAATTCCCAGTTCTGCTGTTGGCCTGCTGGGTGACTTTTGGCTAGTATATTCCCTTCTGTGCCTTGGTTTCCCACCTATGTAAAATGGGGTAACGATGCCTCTGCAAAGGGCTATGAGATTTAGGGCTGAAAAGAGCTAGGCATCTGCTGATTTATTAATTTGGATGGAAGCCCCATGCTTTGGGATAATGAAGTTAGACAGCACATAGCCATAGAAAAGCTAGTTGTGTGAACCAACCCGACACTCTGAGAGCCACTGGATGATTTCCTGCTGCTGCAGTTACCAGCCCAGGACACCGTAACCACAGGCAGAATCGCTGGCTCCAGGGTGATGTCGTGTGTATAATAGAAATGTGTCTGCCTGTTGGTTCAAGAACTCCTCCTAAATGGTACGAGCTAGCGCCACCAAATTCGAGCGGCAGCTTCCTCGGATCATTACTTGCAGCAAAGTCAGTTTGGATGTGCCAGGAATGGGACTGTTTTCCATAAGATGGAAAGGGAGGGGACTGTTCAGAAGGATGCGACCACTGGGGGCAGCAAGCACAGGCAGGAGCAGGGGTGGGCAATCGTGTTTGGTGGGGGCCACTCCAAGAGTTTGGAAAGTGGACAAGGGCCACACTTCTGTGCAGGAGATGCGGGGTCTAGGATGGAGGTTGGGTGCAGAAGGGCGCACAGAGTAAGGGAGTGGGGTACAAGAGACGGTGTGAGGTCTGAGAAGGAGTTTGGGTGACCTGGCTCAGGGGATTGGGGTGCAGGAGAGGGTTCTGGCCTGGGGGAGGGGCACTAGGAGGAAGTGCAGTCTGGGAGGGAGCTGTGACCTGGGAGAAGGGGAAAAGGGTTGCAGACTGCAGAGGCTGTGCATGGTGACGGGATTGGGGTGCAGGGTCTGGAAGGGTGCAGGAGAGGATTCTGGCCTGAGGGAGGGGTGTAGGAGGAGGTACAGGGTCTGGGAGGGAGTTGTGACCTGGGGCAGGGGGGTGACCTGGGGCAGGGAGTCAGGGGAAAAAGGGGATGCACACTACAGAGGGTGTGGGTGGTGACTTGGGGCAGGGGAATGGGGTGCAGCATCTGAGAGGGTTTTTGGGTGCAGGAGAGGATTCTGGCCTGGGGAAGGGGCGTAGGGGGGTACAGAGTCTGGGAGGGAGTTGTGACCTGGGACAGGGGGGTGCAGAGTGTTTGGATGGTGACCTGGGGAGGGAGTTGGGGTGTAGGAGGGGCTGGAGTGCCAGAGACAGGCTCTGGCTGGAAGGCGCTTACCTAAGCCAGCACCCCCAAGGCAGGCTGGGCCCCTGCCTGCTGCAGCTCCAGATCCTTTAGGCTTGTTACCTCCACCTCTCTCCCTTCTTATTCTGAGGGCCCCCCTTTCTCCACGCAAGGTCATCTCATCTGAGGAAGTGGGTTTTGCCCATGATGCTAGATACGTGGTTTTGTTAGTCTCTAAGGGTACGTCTACACTAGCTCGTTAGTTCGAGCTAGGTAGGGTAATTAGGGCAAGCGGAGCAGCAAATGAAGCCCGGGATTTAAATATCCCGGGCTTCATTTGCATGTTCCCAGGCGCCGCCATTTTTAAATCCCCTTAGTCCGAACTCCTACACGCGGCACACAGTAGGTAGTTGGAATTAAAGATCCTAATTCGAGCTGCCGTTACTCCTCGTGGAATGATATTTAAATCCTGGGCTTCATTTGCACCTCCGCTTGCCCTAATTACCCTACCTAGCTCGCACTAACGAGCTAGTGTAGACGTACCCCAAGGGCCCACCGGACTGCTCTTCGTTTGAAGTAGCTTTCCCTCAGACTCCAGAGAGACTCCCAGCCCTGAGCAGTGCAGAGGGATTTCAGCCTCAGGTCAGAGAAGCGTCTTTCCCAAAGACGTTCTGAGGCGTGTACTTCAGTCCCATGGCCTGGTGGCTCCCTGCCTGGGGGCCGTTGTCTAGCTACACAAGCCTTTAAGTAAGAGGCCAGAATTTTCATTGCCTGCCTGGGGGGAGGGGACCTGGATCCACAGAGCCGCCAGGCACAGCTGTGGTACCCACTGCGTCCTAGGGCTGAGCCGGAGGGGTGTGGTTAGTGGCTCTCTGAGTAGGCAGAGGCAGAAGCAAGTGGGACAAGTGGCAGGCTGGACTGGACCCGGCTGCGTCCGGCGCTGTGTAAGAGGAGGTGGGGGGCAGGCCGCAGTCTCAGCTGCACGAAACCAGCATCGCTGCCTTTCCTTCCGCCTGCGTCAGTCGGGCATTCGCTCTCCGAGAGCTGTGGGGTCTTTTCACTCAGCAGCCCCCTTCCACCCTAAAACTGCAGCAAGCCTTAGCGGTGTTCCTGTTGCACCTCTGCTGCCATGAGGGGGCGGCCGTCGTGGTCACAGTCCTGGACCCCCCGGGTGCAATACATGTGATGCGCTGTGATCCCCCCTTACACTTCTATTGCAACACAAAGCCAGGGCTTTGGGGCTCCCGGGGGATCGCGCTGAGAAACCGACCGTCCCTCACGCAGGAAAGTACAGCACCTTCTCCTGGCGTGGGACCCATTGGACGAATATGGGAAGGGCACGCAAAACCCAGGCTCCTTGGCTATCAGACTGTGGGTGTGCTTGGAGCTGGGTGTGTGCACACGTGCATGTTTGTGCGCACGTGCAAGGAAATGAAGTGTCCTTTCACAAAGAGTTTGCTCCCTGTTAGGCTCGCACGCCAGCTCCCAAGCCATGATGGATGGCGGGGCGGTGGGGCTGGCTCCAGAGCTCTCTCTTTGGGACCTGGATGCGCTGGAGGAATGGCATGTGGTTAATTAGCAGCACCCAGCCCAGGGAGGGGCCCTCTAGCAGTGGGGGGCTACTGGGGAAATGCAATCTGAAGACGGCAGACCAGTCGAGAGATGCAGAAACGATTTGTTGAAAAGAATCCCAGCTGCACAAGGAAAGGCTCGCTGGGCGGGGAGGCGATTATCGGACTCAGAGGGTCAGCAAGGGCTGCCAGGGTCAGCTAGTGCAACCCCGCTAAGATGCAGGATTTGTTGCGTCTAAACCCCCAGGACAGGTGGCTCTCTGGCCCTGTTGAAACCCTTCTGTGAAGGAGGTTTCATGACCGCTTGAGGCACCTATCCCCTTGTCCTGCTCTTGCTAGAGTTAGGGAGCTTTTCCTGAGCTGTGGGGTGGGCGTTTGGGGGCCAGAGGATATGGACTAGGGCACGGGGTGACACAGGGAAGGGGGATGTGGGTGTGAGCGAGCAGGGGATGGACTGGGCCACAGTAGAGGCTGAGACAAGGACACCTGTCAGCCCACATCGCTCTCCCACGGCGCAGGGAGTGTGGTGCAGGTGTGCCAAGATCTGGGGCGCCTGCCCATTTGAGGTGATCTGCCCCGCCTTTCCTTGGGTAAGCAGGTTCGGGGAGGGGGCTTTTCTGCAATAGGTGGTCTGAGCCCATCCCTACCTCCTCTGGGCTCGGGGGGGCCCCACTGGTGGTGTCTGAGCCCCACCCCTTGTGTATGCCAGGCTCTGGGAGGGCAAGAGGGGGTTGATGGATGTTCCCCAAAGTGCTGGCGTGTTGATAGTCTGAGGATGCTCAGTGGCCACCGGTGCAGGTTCGGGGAGGGGGCTTTTCTGCAATAGGTGGTCTGAGCCCATCCCTACCTCCTCTGGGCTCGGGGGGGCCCCACTGGTGGTGTCTGAGCCCCACCCCTTGTGTATGCCAGGCTCTGGGAGGGCAAGAGGGGGTTGATGGATGTTCCCCAAAGTGCTGGCGTGTTGATAGTCTGAGGATGCTCAGTGGCCACCGGTGGTAGAGTGGGGCGGAGCAGGAGGTGGGCTGGGTGGGGGAAGCCAGGCTGAAGCAGAGGCCAGAGTCCCAGCTGGTGGGAAGCGGGGCCTGACGCACCGCACAGCTCAGGCTACAGAAGCAAAGTTGCCTGTGGCCCGGGATAGGCAGCTAGCTGGGTTATGCGCACACAGAGCAGGGGCAGCGCCAGCCAGTGCCTTACGGGATGCGGAGCAGACACACAGCTGGAAACGTTGGCAGTGGGGGCTCCCTGTTGCAGCGCTAGGGGAGAGACACGCTGGCCTCTCACATGCTGAGAGTTAGGGATAAGATTTCTCTCCCTGGCCCTGCTAGCAACTGCCCGTTGCCAACATTTCAAATCACATAGCAACCGTGTGGGGCTAGCTCTGCCACTGGCCTGCTGTGTGACCTTGGGCAAGTCACTTCACCTCTGGGTGCCTCCGTTTCCCATCTGTAAAATGATGATAACAATGTAAAGTGTTTTGAGATGTACCAGTGAAAAGCATTAAATAAAAGTTTGGCTTTTGGGTTACTATCTAGCCACAGGTGCATATCAACTGCAAATCTAAGTGAGAACTACAACTGCCAGTAACTCCTCCCAATGAACATTTCTGCTTAGAAAGCTAGGAAATTAAATGGCAAAAGCTTTAAGGTAAAGTTGCCCAGTGATAAGTTGTGCCCTTACAAAACACTGAAGTCAACAAAACTTAAATTTCAGAAAGCCTAGAAATACAGAGTTACGGTAAATGCTCAGAACACCTTAACTCTGCCCTCGTTCAGCATCCATTAGGCCCAGAACACACGTACGGTGAATCTAGATCGCATCCTTCTGTCGGAATAAGCTACACAATTTGTGCTATGCAAATTGTGTAGCTTATTCTGAGTCTAGGTCAAAAGAGCTTATTTTGAAATTTGGCACTGTGTAGACAGCACCAGATTTCAAAACAAGGCACTATTCCAACACATCCTTTAATGTTACAGGGCACCGGAATAACACGCCCACTATTCTGGGACATAGCAGGCACATGTAAAGATGCAGAGTTGCTATTTCAGGATACGTCCACAGTCTAGACATCCCCATACTCCCGCTCTGCCTTTCACAGTAGTGGACAGGCACTAGCTGTACTTTCCATACACGGAAACATTGCGCCTGCTTCCCGACCAGAATACTGCACTTGAGACATGTGACCTCCCGTTCTTCCCCTTTTACAACCCTTCCCATAGGGTACCACCCAAACCCGGCACTTCCTGGCATCCTTCAATCCACAGCCTGCTCTCCCGTCCTGTCTCCCTGCTGACAGTACCAATGGCAGGAAGATCCCTGGGCCCTGACACAAGCTGGCATAGAAATGACGCAGACTGAAACCTCAAGTTACACGTCTTGCCTCCACATGGGTGGGGCTCAAAGCCAGAGCTCCTCATTTCACAGTCCTAGCTTGTCCAAGCTAGCCAGTCTTTCTCCATCATTCAGCCCAGCTATGTCCAACACAGCTGGAATGACTGCAGATATTCCCAAGGCCCTATTGCCAACTCTGGGGGGCAGAGTTAAGGTTGTGTGGGCATTCACCTTAACTCTGTATTTCCTGGCTTTCACCTGTTTGAATTTTGCTGGAGTTGGTGTTGTGGAAAGGCACCAGCTAGCACAGGGCAACTTAACTCTGCATCAAGGAAGTTTTCTGTCATTAATAGCTGTACAGATGCACTGATGTCCACTTCACCAGAACGTAGCTTTCCTTAGAATATGAAGTGCTGGGGCGGACTGACAGCCCCTTCCTGAATAGTTCTCGCAGCCAGGGTGGGCTCGTGGCAGCACTAGAAACCAGCCTGGCCCCTGAGCATATTTCCAGAGGCCATTGTGACAGTTAGTGAACTGAGTCCCACTTCTGTCCATCGCTGCCTAAGCCAATCAGTCAGCAATTGCAGAATCAGCCTGGTCTGAATGCTTCCGCATGCCCAGCGATGACAGCTTCCTAAAGAAAACACAGGGACATTGTCTCATGCGAGCCACTGCCGAAGAAATGCCGCGCACGTCACCAGGTGCCTCCGAAAATTAGAGCGAGGGCGGAATGGGTTTCCTGTCCTGGGAGAATTTGAAAAATCTCCCATCTCCACTAGGGATGGAAAGTCAAATTTGATGAACAGAAAACCCCCCAAGAGTTCAGTTTGGGTTGATCGAAACCTTTTATTTTGATTTTGCCCTTTTTAAACAAAATTTGAACGTAACTAATATTTCAACTGAAATGTTGGTTTGAACCCACAGTCAAAGCATTTTCTTCCAAAAATGTTGAAATGGGACAATTTGCTCCCCTCCCTCAATTGTTTTTCTTTTTTTTTTAATAGGAACAATTTGTTAAAATTGACGCATCTCTGCAGGAAGTTTTGGTTTTGATGAATCGGCATTTTCTGGTGAAAAAATTTCAGTGACAAATTTCCAACCGACTCTTCCATAACATTGTTCTGAGAGCAATGGGCCTTTCTGCTGTTCTGGTTAAAGCATGTATGTTCCCCAGGGATCAGGAAGGATGGAGCATGATTCAACAGAAGTCTTCAGCAGCAGCATGGCCCTGCTGAAACCAGTGAAAAGGCTCTCCTTGATTTCTGGGGCTTTGGATCCGGCTCTAAGTGCCCAAAGCAAATTCGGTAGCTGCAAAAGGAGCCCTCTGAGAAGCTAGAGCCCAGACTGGAGTAAGCTCCAAGGTTGCAAGGCACCTAACTCACCTTGACAGGCAACGAAAGCGACGATCCAGACCCTGCACAGCGTTCAGGTGCTTAGCTCCTATTGCAACTCTTGGCAGTTAGGCACTTGCACCTTAGAGGATCTGGGATTAGGTGCCTAAATCCATTGGTTTCAACAGGCGTGAACCATCTAAATACTTTAGAGGATCTGGGATTAGGTGCCTAAGTCCATTGGTTTCAATAGGCGTGAACCATCTAAATACCTTTGAGGATCTGGGATTAGGTGCTGCTGTGCCTTCAAATATCTCCCCCATGCCCTCCCTCCCCGACAAATCCCCTTCTCTCCTGGGCAGTAGCTGCTCTCACCTCTCTGAGACGGCTCCGTTCGACAGGCCCGTGGCCATGTGTCTGGCCAGGCGCCCCGTCCTTGTGAACTGTTGCGCCATCCAGCAGAGCTCATCCAACACGCCCCAGAGCTGGTCGAGCCTTTGAAAGCAAAGCCATGGACTGTGCTTACTGCACTGGGAACGCACTGCCAGGCCTCTTAGGGGACTGAGGAAATGACCTACACTCCCCACAAGCCATTCTGGTGGGTTTGCCACATGGACACAGGTCAGGTGTGGGTCAAAATATGTTAGTCTGCAGGTGCTTGGTGCTTGGATAAAAAACCAAAACACATTCACTGAAAACCCCATTTTCCATTAAAAAACAGCTTCAGCAAAGAATTTGTGACCAGCCCTAAGTAAGAGGCATGGAACCGTAACTCCCCCACTCCCCTTCCCTTGCGGTAGGCCACATAGGCTCAGCAAAGGATCACAGCTAAAGCTGCAAGGCAGAAAAGCCACCAGAAACTCTCAGTCAACCCCAACTCACCTCTTACTAAGAGAAAACAGCATCTGTGTAGGTCTTATTAGCTTCCTAAGACACTGTGATATTAGCTCAGTCATCGAGTCCAGCAGTCCAGGTGCCTGCTGCATCTCTCGGGCAGCTGGAGAGACAGCCAAAGCCAATAGCAGAGAAACACAAGGCTTTAAAAACAACTTCTAATTTATGGAGCAAATTCAGCAAAATGATTAGGGGTTTGGAATGGGTCCCATATGAAGAGAGGTTAAAGCAACTGGGACTTTTCAGTTTAGAAAAGAGGAGACTGAGGGGGGATATGATAGAGGTCTATAAAATCATGAGTGGTGTAGAGAGGGCGGATAAAGAAAAGTTATTTATTAGTTCCCATAATAGAAGAACTAGAGGACACCAAATGAAATTAATGGGTAGCAGGTTTAAAACTAATAAAAGAAAGTTCTTCTTCACACAGCGTGTAGTCAACCTGTGGAACTCCTTGCCAGAGGAGGCTGTGAAGGCTAGGACTATAATAGAGTTTAAAGAGAAGCTAGATAATTTCATGGAGGTTAGGTCCATAAAAGGCTATTAGCCAGGGGATAAAATGGTGTCCTTGGCCTCTGTCTGTCAGAGGCTGGAGAGGGATGGCAGGAGACAAATCGCTTGATCATTGTCTTCGGTCCACCCTCTCTGGGGCACCTGGTGCTGGCCACTGTCAGCAGACAGGCTACTGGGCTAGATGGACCTTTGGCCTGACCTAGTACGGCCGTTCTTATAGGAACCCCAAATGAATAACTTCCTGAAAACTGTGTTGAGTCTAAAGCCCTCCCAGACAGAATTTCCTTTCAAAGGCTGAAGTGTCAAAGGGAAGTAAGGAAATTAGGCACCTAAATCCCTTTGGAATCAAACCATTCATCCCCCGTGAAAATCCCCTCTTGGCCGCCGTTGTGCTTGTAGCTGTTTTCTGTTGCTCGTCGCAATAGACGTTAGTTTCTACTTGTCACTTACCTGTGGACACTGAGGAGGTCTTCGGTTCCCTTACAACATCAGAGAAGTATAAACAAGGTTGGACGGCACCAAAACTGTCAGGATTTTGTGATCTGTGGCTGCTGCCTTCTACGCACGTTGCATTTCAGACTTACCTGGCGATGCCTGGGGCCTTCAGAGCAGGAGGTGGTGGAGGGGGGATGCAGGAGTCAGGGCAGGGCCTTGGGGATGAAGGGGCAGGGCAGGAGGGGACAAATCTGACTCGTCTACCTTTGTGCTGGCCTGGAGTCAGTTGCTGCAGCACTTTCTGGTCTGTTCCGTTGAGTGTCCCGCTCACAGCAGGAGTCTGTGGCAGGGGCAGGTTCCCGTTGGATCCGAGCCCGGCAGTGTCTGGGCCCCGGCAGGAGCTCTCTTCATTAGCTCCAGACAGGCCCTTTCTACTGAGCAAACTGGCAAACCGGAAGGTGACCGTGTTGGCGGGATAATTCCCACCGAAGGCATCTAGGAGACAGAACAACGGGAAAGCTGTCGCCAGTCAGGGCTGATTGCAGGGCACGGTGTGGAAGGTCCTGGTGACGCTGCATGAGACTGGACACATAAAGGCGCCTACCGCCCGTTGGCTTGTGTGGCTTGGTGACTTGCAACAGCAGCCTGCTGTGCCGAACTGCACCTGGCCAGCAGGTCTGCTGAGCGTCTGGCCCGGGGCTTTAGCAAAAGCAAGGGTAGAGGTCATTTGTATTCATGAGGCAGGGAGGCAGGTATGGCCAACCCCTGTAAAAGCAGGGCCAATCCCAGCCAGGGCTGTGTCAAGCCGGGACTGAAACACCTCTAGGGATGGAGCTTCCAGCCCCTCCCTCGGGAACCCAGCCCAGCGCTTCCCCACCCGCCCAGGGAAATCGTTTTTCTGAATCTTCAACCGAGACCTTCCCCACTGCAACTTGAGCCCATTGCTCCTCGTTCTGCCACCTGTCCCCACTGAGAACAGCCTCTCGCCAGCCTCTCTGGACCCCCCTTCAGGGAGCTGCAGGCTGCTCTCAAATCCCCCCTCACTCTTCGCTTCTGCAGACTAAACAGACCCAAGTCCCTCAGCCTCTCCTCATAGGTCATGTGCTCCAGCCCCTGAATCATTTTGGGCGCCTCCGCTGGACCCTCTCCAATGCGTCCACGTCCTGTCTGTAGTGGGGGCCCAGAACTGGACACAATAGTCCAGATGTGGCCTCACTAGTGCTGAATAAAGGGGAATCAACACGTCCCTAGATCGCCTGGCCATGCTCCTCCTAATGCAGCCCCATGTGCCCTTCGCCTTCTTGGCTACAAGGCCCCTGTCGACTCATCTCCAGCTTCTCCCCCACTGCCATCCCAGGCCCTTGTCTGCTGAACTGACACTGGCCCGCGAGGTCCCTCTGTCCTTGTACTGCTCAGTAGGGGAGGTGCCGGGGTCGCTCCTCCAGCCTGGCCATGCCGGACAGCGCGTGCCGCTGCAGGGGCGGGCTGGGGCCACACTCACTGTTCCTGCGTAAGAAAAGGACCGTGTCCTGGTAGCCTCGCGAGAAGAACTCCGTCAGGACCTGCGGAGGAAGGCACCTGCGTCAGAGGGAACTCCGGCTGCGGGAAGGGCTACTCGCGGGCACTTGCTGTCTCCTCTGCCTCCCAGCAAAGCAAATCTCTACAACTCCAGCTGGTCTCCTGGAGCAAAACCTGTTCTCATTGGTTGCCCTCCCCACTTCCCCGCCTCCTGGGGCAGAGCAGCCAATCAGGCTGTAATTTCTGGTTTTTGCCTTGCAG